ACTTTGTGCTAGTTCATTCATTCCTCATTTCTTCACATGAGGAAGCAGCTAGATTATTTGTTAGAGAAAAAATTCATCAGACCGAGGTCGTCACCGTTCGCCGCACCGATACTATTCACGCCAAAAAAAGACGGGGGGTTTCGCATGTGTATCGACTACAGAGCACTGAATAGGGTAACAGACAAGTCGCGGTACCCCATTCCCCGCGCCGACGAACTGATCGACCAACTGCGAACAACACGGGTTTTTTCGAAAATAGATTTACGGGGAGGTTACGATCAGATTAGGGTCGAACCATCGGACTGCGCCAAAACAGCTTTCAGGACTAGGTACGGGTCGTTCGAGTACACGGTGATGCCATTCGGGCGGACCAAAACACCGGCGACTTTTCAGATGACCATGAACGAGGCATTTAAGCCGCTCTTAGATAAATGTGTAATAGTTTACCTCAACGACATCCTAGTGTATAGTCGGGATAAGCAGCAGCACTTAGCAGATCTGGAAGTTGTGTTAAAGGTTTTAGACGAGCACAGATTACTGACCAAGGGTTCCAAGTGCGAGTTCTTCCAGGATAGGTTAGAATTTTTGGGGCACGTTATTTCGGAGGCTGGAGTTGAAATCGACCCAAAGAAGTTGGATACGGTAAAAGCGTGGCATCCCTCGACGAACATCACGGAGCTGCAGAGCTTTTTAGGGTTCGTTAATTATGTGCGTCGGTTCGTCCTCGATATGGCACGGTTAACTGCCCCACAGACGGATTTACTGCGGAAGGGGGTTGCTTTAACGTGGGGGGAGAAAGAGCATACTGCCTTCTCTGCCCTGAAAAATGTTCTCTGTTCACCGCCCGTCCAGCGCATCGCCGACCCACACCGCCCATTCGAAGTAGTTACCGGCGCATGCGATATCGCCATCGGAGCCGTACTGCTACAGGATTTCGGCAATGGCCTACAGCCTATGGCATACGAGTCACAAAAACTGCACCCGCCCGAGAAAAATTACCCGATACACGACCGCGAAATGCTTGCGATCGTGCACGCGTTCAAAGTATGGCGCTGTTACTTGACTGGCGCGGACGTGACAGTACGGACAGACCATAAATCACTACAGTACCTTCGCGCACAGCCACACCTCAACCCACGACAGATTCGCTGGCTCTATTTCCTCAAGTCCAACTTTCACTATACGGTCACTTACAAAAAGGGAGCCTCGAACATCGCCGACGCACTGACCCGCCCCACTGCCCAGATCCACGCAATACTACTCGCCCAGACAAGCCCGCTACTGACAGGCCTATTCACCCACAGGTACCAAACGGATCCATTTTTCACAGGAGGAAATTCGCAGTAGTTCGCAGCAGCAAAGGGAGTCTATTACGTAAAAACCGGGACTGACCGGATTTGGGTGCCTGTGTATACACTGCTACGGGAATTACTGTTACAGGAGGCACACGACGGAGTTACCTCGGGGCATTTCGAAGTAGAAAAAACACGGCAGCAGCTGCAGCGGTATTATTACTGGCATGAAATGTTGACCGACGTACAACGACACGTGGCATCGTGTCCCACTTGTCAGCTCATGAAATCATCACGACAGCGGGCGGCGGGACAGTTGCAGCCGATACCACCCCCAGAGCGTGCTTGGCAGCAGGTGACGATGGACTTCGTCACGGGGTTACCAGCCGGGGGGAGTGGGAACGACGCGATCCTAGTCGTCGTCGATCGACTGATGAAAATGGCACATTTTGCAGCCTGCAAAAAATCAATCACAGCCGAAGAAACAGCACGCCTCTTCATCTCCACCGTCGTTCGAGTGCACAGGATACCAGCCGCGATCATCAGCGACCGCGACACGAAATTCACCAGCAACTTCTGGCGAAACCTGTGGCAGCAGTTCGGCACGCGACTATAGTTCAGTTCATCATACCACCCCGAAACCGACGGACAGACAGAACGGACAAATTAGACCATGGAACAGCTCAACAAGGCCACGCGTGACGACCCGACCATGTGGGAACAACAACTGCCACTTATCAAATTCGCGTACAACAACTCGCCATCCGCCACGACCCAATAGTCACCATTTTACCTAAACTACGGACAAGACCCAACAGTACCCATGACCCCGAATCCCAACAACCCAGTACCACGAGCACAACAGTTCGCCGAAATATTACAAGGAGCACGGACCCGGGCAGTAGACGCAATAAAAATATCGAACATCATCGCTAAACGCAACGCCGACCGCCACCGCAGACCTGTCACTTACCAGCCCGACGACTTAGTTTTACTTGACACTCAGAACCTCCGACTGCCCATCACCCCGAAACTCCGCCCCCGATACTGCGGGCCATTTCGCATAAGCCACATGCTTACACCCGTCACCGCCCACCTCCTCCTCCCTGCTGACTGGTACGTCAGCCCCTCATTCCACGTCAGCCTACTTCGCCCTTACGTCCCGTCCACGATCCAACTGCCACGCAATCACCCAGCCAGCATGACAAGACCACCAACTGAACCAATCATCACCCCCGAGAAAATCCTGAGTCACAGAGTTCGCGACCCTCGAGGAGCCCGAAGGATCGAGTTCTTACTCCGCTGGAAGGACCGTACACCTACCGACGACAATTGGGTTCCCCTGGACAGAATCGAAAACCACCCCGTCCTCACCGAGTATCTGCGTAGCCGAAATTTCAGGGATGTACACGTACTTTTGTAAGGAGGACCTCCTGGGGGGGGGGGGGTAGTGTAAGGAAAATTCCTTTTCCTTACTTCGCATCCCTGCTCAACGCGTACATCACTGTAGCACCACAGTCAGCACCGTTACCACTCGCAACCCTCGCATCGACAATCCGCCCGCCACCTTTGCACATCGCACCCCGACTTCACGGCTCGGCGGGTAACCCGCGCTCCGGGCCTCCGCTTCGACACTTTTCCCAACCTCAGTCCCAGGCCCGTCGCGCGACAACCACAGTCCATTACCGTTACCACTGTAGTTTCGCTATATATTCTTCGCTCATGCCTTCGCTCATTGTACTCTTGCTTCGATAGTGCAATTCTCGTTCGTTCACTCAATTGCACTCGTAACACACTCCTGTCCTATTGGGGAGGTAGAGAATCAAAGCTACAGATACATAATGTGCAACAATTTGTACCGAATCTCCCAGTTCCGCCAACTTCTAGGGCTCCTTGGGTTTGTCACCAGAGTTCCCTGATCCACAGGTTCCATACTCCCCCAACACCCTCCTCCGCCATTCCTTCTCACTAGTCAATCCCCTATTCTTAGTCCTCGCTTTTTCTGACCTAGTCCGGAGCTCTGCCTTTTCGTGGGCTCTCATGTTGTGATTGTAGCTCCAGTCTGGAGTGTTGGATTCCCCCTTACGCTCGACCTGTCCTAACCTGGCCCTCCGTGCGTGTCATTCGCAACTATCAACGCTAGCGATTTCAAATCCGCTGGACCATGATCAGGCATTCGCGTTCCCGCGACTAGACACTCGCATACTGGCGATTGGACACTTAAGGAATTGGCGATTAGGCGTTTTTGCCAAGCGTTGAGACGTATTGCAGATCGGTAAATAAAGTATTGCAGAAGCGCGAGCGTTCATTCGCTGCAATGTCGACGACCTATGACGAGCTCGTATCGGCACGGTCTAAATTCGAGGAGCTTATATCGAACATCCTCTTAACAAAGCAGAAACAGATCAAAGCGCTTGAAAGCGATGAGGGTATCGAGACAGCTAAAAACGAGACCGCTTCCGCCGCTCTCGCCGACATTCAGGAGTTTTCAACAGAGGCCTCGGTGATCCTCCTGGATCTACGCCGTCTGAACCGTCAGATCTTAAACGACGAGGAACGCGTTAAATCGGAGACCGAAGCGGCGCGAGCTCCTGTAGACACGACCGCGCTCCGGCTACACAATCTTCAATACAAGATGAACCACCACGCGAGATCGATCGCCGCGTATAGGGATTTCGTTTCGCGGCATCCGGACATTGAGCTCGTGAGCGCGCACGACTTCTTTATGGATGCACCGGAGAGCCTTAAATCGGAACCGGGGTTGGAAAAGGATCCGCACCGGCTGATGCTGCAACGACTTAACTACGAGCTTCATCAGGTAAACCACGATCGACTTTCCGCCAGAGATTGAACCCTTACCGTTTCATCCGCCCTTCCATTCTTTGCGTACCCCCAGCCCTGCGGTAGGAGCTGGTCCGCTCGCAACAGTTGCTAAGATTTTAGGGGTTTTTATGGCATCCGCATTCAGGTCTCTCCCTCTTGTACAGATACCAATACTACCCTTCTACATTCCCCCCCTAAATCCAGCGCAAGGAGCTGGTCCGCGCGCGGGAGATGCTCGAAATTCGCCGGCGGACGCTCCAGGAGAGCATCAGCAGCCGGAAAAAGTTTCTGGGCAGCCTTCCCGGGCAGCTGAAAGCCCTGAAAAAGGCATCCGGTCCGCTTCAACAGCAAATGGGGATGCAGCACTCGCGGCGGGTGAAGCAACACCGCTTAGCGTCCCTCCTCCCGCCGCCTCTCTACGTTTTGTACTCGCAATTAGCTGCTCGGAGGGACTCGTTAGAAGAAGCGATAGAGGTGGAGATTGAAGGGAGCGTTAGAGAAGCGGAAGCCTTTGCTGCTCTGGTGGAAGAGAGGGAGGCAGCAGCAGCTGCTGCGGCAGCAAGGGGAGGCGGTGAGGAGGGTCAGATGGGGGAGGAGGAAGACGGAGAGGAGGGAGAAGGGGAGAGAGAACGGGAGGAAGAGGAGGAGGAAGGTATGAGGAGGAGGCGGCGAAAGTCTGATACTGAAAACGACGCCGCAGGAGCTGCTGCTGCTGATGCTGCTGCTGCTGATGCTGACGGTGGTGGTGCTGATGGGAATGGAGAGGGGGATGGGAACGGTGATAGTAACGGTGGTGCCGCTGATGGTGCTGGCGCTGACGCTGTTGTTGCTGACGGTAACGGTGGCGGCGGTAGTGGTAGCGGTGTTGGTGATGGTCTGGGTACCATGGGCACTGCTATGGTGGTCAGTGAGGGGGGGGGGAAGCAGGCGCAAGTGAATGCGGGGATCGGCGCAGCTGACTTGATCGGCGCTGTGGATTCCCCCCATCCGCTGGCGGTGGTGCTCCGCCTGCTGGACGCGCGGGGGAGGGCGGAGCGGGGGAACGCGGAGGCTGTCGGGCAGGGAGGGGAGCGCGGGGCGGAGGAGGAGGAGAAGGTAGAGAAGGAGAAGGGGAAGGAGAAGGAGAAGGAAAAGGAGAAGGGGAAAGAGAGGGAAAAGAGCAAGGCAAGGGAGAAAGAAGACGGGCAACAGCCCGCGCTGCTAGTGCTCCGCTTCGAAATGCTCTGGAACCTCGGGATCATCTGCGTAGGCCCCGTCGAATCCCAATCCCCGCCCCTCCTCCCCTCCTCCTCCTCCTCCTTCTCCTTCTTCCCCACCCCTCCCACACCCACCCTCCCCCCGTCCCCTCTCTCCCTCCACACTCTCCTCACTAATCTTTTCCCAGAGGACTCAGGCCTTCTATTCCCGAATATGGCAAAGGAGCCGTTAGCACGGGAGAGTGGGTTCGTGGCGGCTCTCTCTGCACGCGTCTCCCGCCCGTACTACTGGGCGCAGCTCATGTGTGGCCTGGATTTTCTCCCGCCCCTCCCTCCTTCCTTCCTGCTGCCCCCCGGCTCTTCTGCTGCTGCTGGTGCGGCTGACGGTGCTGCCACCGCTGCTGGTGCTGCTGCTGCTGCCTCTGCCGCTGCTGCTATGGAGGTCGAACCTTCTGCTGCCACATCGTCTGGTGCTGCTGCGCCTCCTGCTGCTCCATCTACTGCGGCTGCTGCAGGAGCGGCAGTGGCAGTGGCGAGAGAGGGAGGGGCAGCGGAGACAGGGCCGGGGGGAGCACGGGCACAGCTGCTGGAGCGGCTAGAAGCGTTCAGGGAGGAGCGGCGGCTGGGGCGAGTGCTGCAGGCGATGAGGGAGCGAGTGACGGCTGCGAGAGAGCTCAAGTGAGTCATGTGAGTGCCTGGAGGGGGTGGAGAAATGATGAGTGGACGGGTATGATGAGTACCTTGGGGGGGATGCGCAGAGGCGTGTGAGTGCTTGGGGGAAGTGTCCAGTGGGACCTGAGTGAATTGGGGGATTGAGCAGAGGCGTGTGAGTGCAAAAGTGTGTGTCCAAAATTTTGCACATTTTTCTTACTCTTTGGAATACCTGGTAGCACTGTTCCCGAAACCCTAAAAACCATTTTCTTTACCATAATTGCTTCTCCACCTCTCATTTTTCAGTACCTCCTTCCTCCCTATATCCACTTTTTCGTCTTCCGCCGTCACTTGTGACTGCAGTGCGGTTCTCTCCTCCCTCGTTACAAGCAGACTCCCCACAATCACGCCTTCCCATGCCACTGTCGGCCCCTACTCCTCTGGGCCCTGGCCAGGAGATTCCGGGTACCTTCCCCAATGCTCCATTCTGAGCTGGCAGCTTCTCATTGGCCCGCTGGGGTTCCCAAACGCCACGTGTAGCAGCCAGATTGGGGGAAAGGCTGAAGAGGGGGATTTGGCTAGTGGGAAGGGGGGGGAGAAGAGAGGGAAGGAGAGGCGAGGGGAGAGGAGGAGCGAGAGGGAGGGGGAGAAGGATAGGAGTGACAGGAAAGGAGATGAGAAGAAAGGGGAAGAGAAAAAAGGGGATGAAAGGAAAGGGGACGAGAGGAAAGGAGACGAGAAGAAAGGGGATGAGAGGAAGGGTGAGAAGGGATCAGGGGAGGATGGATCGTCTCGCGGCCGAGGAGAAGGCACGGGAGGAGGGAAAGGTAGAGACGAGGCTTTCGGGAGGCTGGCTGTGGGTGGATTTGGAAGAGAGAGCAGCTTGCCGGTTGGTGGGTTGGGAGGAGAGTGTGCCTTGCCGCCTGGTGCTATGCTTGCCCAGGCTCTGGTGATAGCACAAAGGAGGAGATTGGGTGGACTGGCCGGTGCAGTAGGGTTGGGAGGGGTGGCGGGGTTGGCAGGGGTAAGTGGGGTTGAAGGGGGGTCAGGAGGGAAGGGGGAGGGCGGGGGGAAGAAGCGGGAGAGCGAGGGGAAGAGCAGCGGCAGGGAGAGGAGGAGCAGCAGGGAGGGGAAGGATAAGGGCGACGAGGATGGAGAGAAAGGGAGAGGGGGAGGGAGTAAGCGAGAAACTGAGGGTAAAGCAGCAGCATCAGGAGCCATAGCAGCAGCAGCAGCAGGAACAGAAGCAGCAGCAGAGGGACCTGCAGGGGACGGGCACGGCAGGGGGGGCAGCGGGGGGAGTGGGGGCAGTGGGGGCGTGGAAGGCGGGGAAGGCGGCGAGGGGGTGGTGTGGGTGGCGTTGCCATGGTCGTGGGCAGCAGCGCATGGTATCCATCCGTCCACCCCTGCTGCTGTCGCCTGGGAGACTGTGCTGGGGGTCGGTGCCTATGTGTATGAGCTCATTGTCAGGGGCACAGGGGGCGCCGGGGGTGGAGGGGGCGGAAGGGGTGGTGGGGATAGTGGGAGTGGTGGGAGTGGAGAGCGGAAGGGGAGGAAGGAGGAGGGCGAGAGGTGTGTGTGTGACCTGCAGGCACTGGTACGTGATGTTTGATTCACCTCCCTGTTTTAAAAGTAAAACGAAGCTTGCTTGCTGGTGTGTTAACGTTTCTCCCAGCTGCAGACTCCTGCTCCTAGTGCGTGATCCTGCCGTGAAGTTGTTATCCAGCATTCCTCCATCCATCATTTTTGCCCTGCCTCCGTGCCCGCTGCCGCCCGGCCCATCAGGTGGTCATCTATCCTGACTTCCCTCGCCGCCCGCCTCTCTTCTCTCTCCATCTCCTTTCCCCCACCACTCCATCCGCGCATCAGCAACCCCTCCTCCCCTCCTCCACTGCTCAAGTCACACTCTCTCCATCTGCTTCATCCCTCACCTCCCATGCCTCCTCACTGCTGGATGGGCTGTTCTCTCTCGAGTCTGAGGTAAGCAATTTCAACCCCTTTCTGCGACTCCCTCAACCCCCCATCCCCCCTCCCACCCACCCTCTCCCCCTTATCTCCCCCCGCTTATCCCAGTTCCCCTCCTTTCTCCCCTCGCCCCCCCCTCCCCCCTCCCCCCTTCCCCTCCCCTTCCCGCCCCCCATCCTTATGAACCACAATAACCGAGCTCATATCCCACCCATGCTGCGTTTGGATTTCTTCAGTACACCCTCTGCTGCTGCCATTTTTAGGTGAACATGGGGAGCATGGGAAGTGCAACGAGCCCTCCATCCGCGTACCTGACTCCAAGTCTCCTTTACCACCAGCTGCGCCACTTGCTGAGGGGATTTGACATGCTCTTGAGCTCGGCCTCGGATCTTACATGTAGAAGCGCCTCTGGGAGAATGGGTTATCTAGCAAGAGGATTTAGAGGTCGCAATAGGGAGTGTATGTTGTAAGGGCTGCGCGGGTACCAAGAGGGTTCCTTCCTTTTGTTCAGCGAGAATCCTAGTACTGAGTTACTGCATCTGTGCATTGCAGCCTGTTCTAGTGAGTAGTGGTATCTAGGAGACAACAGACTTAACGTGAGATTATTTGTAACTGCGCATTGCACCTTCAGTCTGCATGCAACAGTCCATGTTACCGAGTTATGGCTTTGGTGGAGACAGATTTTTGGCCAATACCAAAGAGATGGCGAATGTACTTTCGCCACGTGGTTTCACTTATCACGAAGACACGCACGCTCGTTAGAATTTTTGTACATTTGCTCCAATCGCAACAATGCAAGTCATCATCACCCGTCGTAGCTGAGATCGCCTTCCTGCGAAGTCTGGACATGGACAGCCCCAAAAGTGCAGATTTTTTCCTGGCAGCTTCCACGTCTACCCCATGTGCAAGCCGATTCTGATGTGTGTGATCGTTAGGAGTATGCGAAACCTAACGCCCAATCAGATTTGCATGCGCGACTCAATTTACAGTCAGCGTTCGCAGCCCGAAACCCTCAACAGATTCTCGCCACACGTCAAAGGGTCTCATCGTGGGGGGTCTTCGCACGTTCAGGGTCTGTGAACTCACTCGATGTCCAGATTCGTTGCCTTCCACCTCATCACAATGACTACTCACCTGCACGTGCGAAGTGCACTTTTCGCTGTCCCTATTTGAAGTTGGGACAGCCCAGGAAGGCAATCTGACACGTCCAATGTTCGCTCTGGCAAATTTCTCCCAGGGATCTCTCTGCCCGCTCTTCGCGCCAGTCTCCCGTAAGTTGCGGATTGATTTTCTCCTCTCGGACAAGTTCCATCACTGCTTGCGTCACCTTGGGGTCTCCATTCCACCTCACCCAACCTCACTCCAACTCGCCTCACCTCGGCTCACCTCTGCTTGCCTACGACTAGGATTTTTAGTTCTTTGTTCAACTTTCTGCCAGTACCCTTAGTTTTTCTTCTTTGTATCTAGTTCTCACAGCACCTCGCTCTCAGCCAAGGACCCTGATTCAGGAGAGGGAGTCGAGCAGTTATCGTTCATTTTGTCAGCAGTGCTGCTTCTGTACGCGTATAAGACTCGTTGCGCTAAACTTTCAAGCCATGGCTGCTCTCACCACCAGCTCCCTCTCCTCAATGGTGGCGACTTCCGCGTTTTCCGCGTGTGGCGCGTCATCTAGGGCTCTTGCCAGCTCAGCCGCTATCTCGGGAACACCCGTCCTGCGCTCCGCTGTTTCCGTCAGCAAGCGTGCACCGGCTGGCAAGGCTAACGGTTCCGTCAGGTGCTCCGCGAAGCCGTCGGCTTTCAACGACGAGAGCAACCGAGCCTTCGCTTTGAGATCTTTCCGCGAGAAGAAGGCTTTCAAGGTGTGCTTTGAGGAAAAGCTGAACAATATTACCACATTTGTACATATTCAGAGTACCGGAGGTCCAGAACAGTTTGTCGTTGCCGTTGCCGTTGTCGTTGTCGTTGGCTCGTTGTGAGGATCTTGCGTTCACGTCTCACGTGGTGAAAGAAGAACACACGTTTTTGCCACATGAGACGTAAATGCAAGAACCTCAGGGGACTGTTTGCTTGTTCACGAACATGACTTCTGAGTCGATCCAGAAGTCAGCTGCTCAATCATGGCATTACTCCCTTTCATGAAGCATTTTTTCCGTTCATTCGCAATGTCGTTTCTGGTGTTTCCAGGCCATCGCAGGACTCAACAACTTCAATGCCGATTCTGTTGCCGCTGTCGTCTCCGCTGCCGAGAAGGTACGCAACGCCTGTCCAACACTTCTGTCCTCATTACCATTCATCGATCCTCATTACCATTCATCGATCCTCATTACCATTCATCGATCCTCATTACCATTCATCGATCTATCCCATCCCCCACTTCCGCCTTTCTCTCCTTCCCAGCCTCCCCTTCCCCCGACGTGCATCGTCTATTTCACATTGGTTTCGCTCCGGTCCATCCGCTCTTCCACTCGCCGCTTTCCATTGCTGGATCCTGAATCTCTATCTCCGCGCTCTTCCATTCTCTCCTCACTCCGCACCTGCTCACTCCGTTCATTCCCGTCGGTTCACGACCCCGTCTGTCCCGCATCCCATCCCCTTCCAATACTCGCCAGGGTGGTGCCACGGTAGTCGACATTGCGTGCGATGCAGATCTCGTTCGCCTCGCCCGCTCCCTCACCTCTCTCCCTGTAAGCCCTCCGGCCTCAGTGTCTCTCCCTGAAGAAGTCTTGCCCGCTCCTTATCGCCCTCTCTGGAAGCCGTTTCAGGCATGAATGTACCACTGTATGTATGTGTGCATTCTTATATTCCCTGTTTGTCAATCCGCCTCCTTCTCCCCTCAACCCGTATATGGTTCCGCCCTGGCCTGTTCCTTCCTCACCTTGTCGTTCTTTTCCCTGCCCTGCCCCTCCCTCCCTCTGCTCCCTCCTTTCTCGCTTCCATGTTCGTCCCTCGCCCTGTCGATCAGATCTGCGTGTCGGCAGTCGAGCCGGGATTACTCAAAAGTCTCCATCCCTCTGCTCTCTCCCTTCACTCCCTTCCATGCTCCTTCCTCGCCCTGTCGATCAGATCTGCGTGTCGGCAGTCGAGCCGGAGAAGTTCGTCGAGGCAGTTGCTGCTGGCGCGCACATGGTGAGTCAGTCAGCGTAGAGTTCTAAAGATTACATGATATGGCAATCAAGCCACGGGGCGAACGTGGTCATCCCGCAGTGCAAGCAATCACACTCCAGCCTGTTCACTCGTGCGCTTGGAGGTGTTCCCCCTCGCTCCAATCTAATCTCTTCATCTCCCTTTGATTCCACGTGGCAGATCGAGATTGGCAACTTCGATTCGTTTTATCCAGACGGCCGGGAGTTCACCGCAGAGGAGGTAAGGCGGGGCTGTGCGAAAGAGCTTTTTCTTCTCGATAGCAACGGGGAGTAAGGCACGGGCTTTTTAGACGCCTCACAAAACGAGTTCGCTGCGGAGGAGGTTAGGTTGGGCCGAAGAGCTCGTATCTCTAAATCCAACGGAGATAAGGCACGGTTGTGCCGCAGAGTCGATAAAACCCTAAAATATTAACATAAACCAGCGGATTAGGGCGCGGCTCAGGACTTCAAGAGTGGCTGAAGGCTCATCAGTGTAGGTGAAGTGGAATGGTGGAAAAAAGGCTTCGGATGATGTGGATGCATGATATGAGTCGACTCGGAGCCACTGAAGCAAGCCTGTATTGTCGCGTCAATACGCACCGTTTGAGTTTCTCAGGAATTTTGAGTTTTGTCACGAATATAGAGTTTCTGGAGGCAGGCCATATCCGGGAGTGATAGTTGGGCGGGGTAACAAAGCAAAGAGAACGGCGAGAGGAGCCTTGAGTGATGGAGTGGTGTGGATGAACAGCATGAGCAGCAGAAGGAGGGAGTTCTCTTCGGGTACGAGACGCCGCTTGTTTGCATGATACTGAGTGCGGCGCAGTTATCCTGATTTTCGTCCCTCTCCCCATCATTGCAGGTTCTCGACTTGACTCGTCGCACTCGCCAGCTGCTCCCCTCCATCGCCCTTTCCGTCACCGTTCCCCACACTCTGCCTCTGCCCGAACAGGTAATTTGCACCCTTCCAACCACCCCACCCATCCCGTCCTCCTTTCACTCCGTCTCCATCCATTTTCTCTCACCGTAGCCCACACTCTGCTTCTTTTGGTGCCGCTGATTCCTTCCTCCCACCAATTCCATCTCCCCTTCTTCACCCAGGCGCCAAATTCTCTACGCCCATTTTCGGTCACGCCCTTCCCCAAGTACTCCCATCCCTTCGTCCCAGCCCTATCTTCCTGAATTCCTCCCCCCTAAAACCCTTACAATCAGTGTGTTTCTCCCCGCACTTCACACTTGTCTACTGCCATCACCTGTTTGCCACCCTCCCTTCCATCCTCTATCCCAGTCAGACCTATACCTCACCGTCTCACTACCCATCACCCTTCCCTCCCATCGGTTCTATGTCTTCTACTCCCCTCTCGTCCCCCTTTACTCCCCTCGCACCATCCAGGTCGCTCTGGCGGAGGCTCTGCAAGAGTGCGGTGCTGACGTCATCCAGACTGAGGGCGGAACCAGCTCAGCAGCTTCCTCTGCTGGCGTTCAAGGGCTGGTGGAGAAGGTGGGTGGTCTAGCAGCTTTCTGACTACCCAGTTTTCACCACGGCTCCCATTTCCATTCTGTTTAACATTTGCCATTCGCTCCATGCTGGTCCCCTGTTCTCCCTTTTCCACTCTTTTCATCCCTCCACCAAACGAACCCCACCATCCTGATTCAGTGCTGTGCCACCAGCATGCCCTGAATGTGTGTCTCTGTCCTTAAAGAGTGTCTCTCACCTGCAAAGGAGCCATAGCCCGAATATAATCTGACCTTCCTCTGTCTCTGGGCTTCCCCTTCCCCCCCTCCCCCTCTCCCCCCTCCAGGCCACCCCCACCATCGCAGCCACCTACTCTATCGCCCGTGCCGTCACCATTCCAGTCATGTGTGCCTCTGGCCTCAGTGCTGTTACTGTCCCTCTCGCCTTCGCTGCTGGTGCCTCAGGAGTGGTATGTCGGCTTTACTTTGAACAGCCCTCCTTCCCCCCCCCTCTCCCCCCCTTCCTCTTTCTTTTGTTGCTACTAATCCTCCCTCATGCAATTACGATTGCCGAACCGGCCATTCATTTCCTTAACCCCCCTTACTGTCTTGTGCAGGGTGTTGGATCGGCCATCAACCGCCTGAATGAGCCTATTGCAATGGTGGCAGCGGTGCGGGAAATTGCAAATGCGGTGAATAGCCAAGTCACCGAGAAGAAAGCAGCTGCCAGTGGTGCTAACAATTGAAAACTGTAACTTGGGTAACATTGGGGCCATTTAGTTAATGTAGGGAAAGGAAAAGCAGTGCCAGCTGAGCCCTTCTAGTGAAGCTTTTCTGGTTCGCAATGCATTGGAATTTGCTGCCAAGACCCATCACAACCGAGATATGCGTATATTACAATACGAAGCTGGCAGTTTGCGCTGGTACAGGTGGAAATCGGTTGGCTAGTTTTAGCACGACGTCCAACAAGCATGGCAGGGAAAAATCCGAGCCGAATTTGACCCACTGATTGGGCGCTATTCGTGGCTCGGCCTGAGGTCGCTCCCTCCGAGCCTGTATGACTTCAACTTTCCACCAACAGTGACCAGCCTCCATCATTTGGAAAACGTTCACGCCGGGGCCCCTCTTCCCAAACCTTGGTTCATCATACTGCAGCCTCGCCTCATCATACCTTCGCTCCCTCGTCTCCCTAGCCCTTGGGATCATCATCATCTCCCTGATCCTCTCTTCCGCCACCCCCCTTGACCCTCCCTCCCCCGCTCTCCCCCAAACCAGCCCCCCCGTTCTCGCGTCCGCACCGCAAACACGTCGACGCCACTTTGGCCCGAAGCTGGATGATCATGATCAACTTCCGCGCGCGCGCCTAGAGATCATCATACCCCCCCTCCTGTTCTCCCCTCCTCATCATCGCTCTGCCTTGCCCGTGCGATCGCTGTGAGGAAAACTACAAACCCTAGCCGACGGCACTGATAGCCCTCCAGCAGGACAGCTGCAACTAACCACTCAGTGCGACTGCTGGAATCATCATTTTCTTGATTGACTGAACCGCCACTTTCTCAACACCACTGCTCCAAGCAGCATCAACAGAGGAACCCCCCCTCCTGTCCTTCCAAGTCAAAGTGGTTAGGGAAAGTGCAGATTAGGAAAAGCGTAAGAGATACGAGGAGGAGGTGGGTTATAAAAGCGTAATGGTGACGTCGGCGGGAGGAGCAGGGCAAGGGCAAGAGAAATCGCATGAAAGCGGCGAGGATAAGAACGAGAGAGAGCAGGATGAGGAGGGAGATCAGTATCCGGGCAATGACGGTCCCGCGGAGGGAGGAAAATACGTTAGATACACGAGCGAACAGGTGGAGGTGTTGGAAAAAGTCTATAAGGAATGTCCGAAACCCAGCTCCGTCCGGCGATCGCAGCTTATCAAAGAATATCCCGTGCTCTCGAACATCGAGCCGAAGCAGATCAAAGTCTGGTTCCAGAACCGAAGGTATTAAATATTTACTGCGGAATTTTAAGACGTCGTAAGCGTTTTTTCAGGTCGAGCACGTGTGGCCTCCGCATTCTCGTTTTCGAGCCTCCTGAGCCGCTTCAAGCTCCTCGTTGAAAAGGCCGAGACCTGAGCTGCATTTTGAGAAAATTATTCCTCGTTGCGTCTACTTACTTTCATGGAATTGACATGAGACACAGCTCTGTAATTTCGAATCGTTCTCACACGCGTCAGTCGGTGCGCTTTCGACGTCGGAACCCGAGCAATTCCAGATAGCAAGAGCCTCAAAGTCGCCACATTGTTCCCTGTTCGGCAAGCAAACCGAAGCAAACCTCTCGACCAGCTTAATCTCCTTCCCGATGCTTAACCCCGTCAAGTCCTGTAACACATTCTCTCTTTCGCAACCCGTAACCCTGTAACCCGCTCCCGCTCCAGATGTCGCGAGCGGCAGCGGATGGAGTACAGTCGGCTGCAGAGCATGAACTCGCGGCTCTCGGCGCTCAACAAGCTGCTCGTGGAGGAGAACGAGCTCTCCACGCGCAAGATCTCCCAACTCACGCTCGAAAACATGCTCCTGCGACAGCAGGTCGCACGGCTGGAAGCGTCGCAGCAGCTCGGCGGACCACAGCTCGGCGGACCGTCGCCGGGGTCTGTAGCTGCGGCCGCCGCCGCTGCTGCTGCGGCTGCGGCAGCCGCGGATCCGATGAAGCTCCCTGGCGCTGCTGCTGCCGCTGCTGCTGCTGCTGCGGGAGGACCTGTTCCCGGCATTCCCACTGCTGTAAGCGCTTGAGCTCCTTTATACTCAAGTTCTGCAGCGGTGAAAACTGCTCCGTGGCTACTCGTGCCGCCGTCCATCGCTCAGCTGTTCCGCACTCTCCTGCCATACCCTCTCCCAACCCAACTCGAAACCATTCCCGCCCAAATCCCTCTCTCTCCCTCGCCGTTCTCTCAACCCCCAGCTCGTCTCATTCCCGCTCTCGTTCTCTCCCCCCTCCCCTGCTCCCCCTCCTTCCCCCCCATCCCTTGGCATCAGCCGGTTCTACCCCCCGGAATACACCCGGGTCTGCCCCTGGGTCAGCCAGACATCTTTTCCCAGCTACAGGCAGCTGCGCTAGGAGGGGTGGGAGGTGTGGGAGGAGTGGGAGGGGTGGGAGGTGTGGGAGGGGTAGGAGGTGTAGGAGGGGAGTTTGGCGGAGGGGCAGCAGCTTTAGACGTGCTCAAGCAGAGGCAACTGGGAGCAGCACAGCAGCAGCAGCAGCAGCAGCAGCAGCAGCAGCAGCAGCAGCAGCAGCAGCAGCAGCAGCAGCAGCAGCAGCAACAACAACAACAACAGCAACAACAGCAACAGCAACAGCAACAGCAGCAACAACAACAGCAACAGCAACAGCAGACACAGCAAGCAGAGCAGCAGCAGCAGCAGTTGCTCCCAAGGCTGGGGTTTGTAGGCACCAATCTGACATCAGACTCTGCTGTCACGGGCTCCAATCCTGCCGGCGACCCTGGCGCCTCTGGGTGCGTCTCCTGCCCTCCGATTCTTTTGTTCTGCCTCTCTGCCTGCCGGCCTGCTTGCCCGCCTGCCTCCCTGCCTCCTCCATCCATCTTCCCTGCCTTCTCCGTGCCTCCTCGCTGCCTCCATTTCTCTGCACTCCTCTACCCGGCCCAGTCTGCCAACCAACCATAGAGAACCAAGTCTCCTTGCAACCCCGTCGTCCACTTGTGACCCGGTTCCTTCTTGCCTCCTGCTCTATTACCTGCCCCTTCCTTGCCCTTCCCCTGCCACCATTCCTTGTGCCCGTTTTTCCCCTTCCTCCCTCCCTCCCTCCCTTCCCCACCCCCCCACGCCCTTCCCCCCCCCGTCCCCGTCTCCCTCTACCCCTCACCCCCCCAGCCTGCTGCCCATAGCGGAGCAAATTTTATCCGATTTCCTGGCCGTTGAGGTGTATTTTGAGGCGCCTCAATGGCCAACGCCACTGGCGCGTCCATGGAATTCTCATGCCCCTGCCACTTCCCTGACCGTTCCCGTTCTCCTCCTGCCCTCGTGCCTTGTCTCCCTCCCTGTGTTCCCTTCACCCCCGTTGCCCTCCAGCCTGCTGCCCATAGCGGAGCAGATCCTGTCCGAGTTCCTGGCGAAGGCCACTGGCACGTCCATGGACTTCGTTGAGATGCCGGGCGTCAAGGTGAGACGAGGGGTGGGGTTAGGTGCTGCTGTGGCCCGCCAGTGCGTGAGGTGTTGAAGGTGGGGAGTTGTTTCAGTGCATACTTTCAAGGCCACTGGCACGTCCATGGACTTCGTTGAGATGCCGGGCGTCAAGGTGAGACGAGGGGGGTGGGGGGGGAAGGGGGGGACGGGGAGGTGGGGAGCTTGTTTCACTGCATGGCATACTCTGAAGGCCACTGGCACGTCCATGGACTTTGTTGAGATGCCGGGCGTCAAGGTGAGGCGAGTGGGGAAGAGAGGTGGGAAGGCGGGGAATGGTTTCTGTGGTTTAGACTCTCTGAAGGCTGTTGGCACGTCCATGGGCCTTGTTGAAATACTTGGAGCAAAGGTGAGATTACTTGGAGCTAGATGAGATGCTTAGAAGCACAGGCAAGATTGCTCTAGCATGCGGAGTAGTTGAGAAGTCTCAAAGTTCTCCCTTTCCTCTCCTTTCCCCATTCGTCCCCCCTTGGCAGGTCGGAGCAGGCTACATAGGCAAGGTCACCATTGCATGTGGAGGGCCTGGTGTTGCTGCTCGGGCGGCTGGCCTCGTCCTGCTGCCGCCCAGCAAGGTGAGTTGTACCTGTGTTGTGTTCCTTCCTCGTTTGCTACGCCATGATACGGCACGGCACGTTGTTTCAAACTAAAACAATAGAGATTCTCTGCCCACGCTGCCCGCATATGGCTGCTCCCATTTCACACTCAGTTCACACACATAAGGATTTCTCTCGACTCAACCCTCCCCTCCTCTCTTATCTCCCCTTGCAGGCAGCAGAGCTGCTAAAGGACCGAGTGGCATGGCTGAGGGAGTGCCGCCGCTGTGATGTAACAGGTGGCAGGGGGGCTCCTCACATCTGTATGCAAATCTTTCCGTTTCATCACCCCTTGCAGGCAGCAGAGCTGCTTAAGGACCGAGTGGCGTGGCTGAGGGAGTGCCGCCGCTGTGACGTGTGTTGGGGGAGCCGTGCCTCTGACTCTCAATCCGGACCTCCTATCTCCATTCTCCCCCATCCGTCCTGTCCCTCTCACAACTCCCCCTGCAGGCAGCAGAGCTGCTAAAGGACCGAGTGGCGTGGCTGAGGGAGTGCCGCCGCTGCGACGTGCTGGGGGGCTTCCGCACGCCCAATGGGGGCACTGTTGAGCTCGTCTACACCCAGGTAGGCTCATATACACGTCCAGGTGGGCTCAGGTGAATTTTCAGGTGCGGTCGCTGAGCAATGCGCATGGGGGCGCGTCCATGCCGGCAGTGCCGTCGTTTGTGCCCATCTGCTCCCCTTCCCCACTGCGTTCCTGGCCCCCTGCCCTGTGCCCCCCTCTGCCCTTCCCTGTCCCTCTTTTTCCTTTCCAGATGTATGCTCCAACCACGTTGGCCCCTCCGCGTGACCTCTGCACTTTACGCTACACCTCCCTCCTGGAGGACGGCGTGGTCATCTGCGAGCGGTCCCTCAGCAACGCGCACGGGGGCGCGTCCATGCCGGCTGTGCCGTCGTTCGTGCGAGCAGAGATGCTCCCCAGCGGCTACCTCATCCGCCAGTGCGACGGGGGAGGCTCTGTCATCATTGCTGTTGACCACCTCGACCTGCAGGTGTGTCTCTCTCCCTCCTCCCTCGCTTCCTGCTCTCCCTCCTCCCTCCGTCCTTTGTGCGAGCGGAAATGTTCCCCAGCGGCTACCTCATCCGCCAGTGCGACGGGGGAGGCTCTGTCATCATTGCTGGTGACCATCTTGACCTGCAGGTGAACCCTTCTCTCATCCCTCACTCCTTCCCTACCTCCCCTCTCCTCTTCTCTCTCCCCGCCCTCTCTTCCTCATCTCTCTGTCATAGGTGCTCTATCCGTCATCTGTCTGCCGCCCCTTTCTCCCTGCCCTTTTAAACCCTTTGCCTCATTCCTCCAACCCACCACCCCTCGCCCGCTCTCCGGCACTCCCACCACCAGGCGTCTAGGACGGGGTTACAGGAGTACCAAGGAGATGCTGCAGCCGCTCTACCAGTCATTCCTGTAGGACCTGTAACCCCGTCCTAAACCCCCACTCTTCCCTCTCCCCACCTCCTCCCTCTCCCCACCTCCTCGCGCTCCCCACCTCCTTCCACCTTCCGCTCCCCTGCACGCGTGCCCGAGGCGCTGCGGCAGCTGTACCAGTCATCCTGGTTTGGCCTGTGCAGATCCCTTACCCCCGGCTGCCACACCCCCCTCCCCGTCCGCCCACCCACCCACCGCTCCCCTTCACCCTCGCCAGGCGTCCAGTGTACCAGAGGTGCTGCGGCCGCTGTACCAGTCGTCGGCAGCGCTGGCACACCGAATGACCATCGAGGCCCTGCGCTACCTGCGCAAGGTGGCCAACGAGGGGTCGGGAGGCGGGGGCGACGCCACCAGCGAGGCCACCTGTAGCCCCTTCTGAAAGCCCCACTCCTCCCTCTCCCCACCACCTCCCTCTCCCGCTCTCCTCCCTCTCTTGCTTCCTCTCCCGCTCCACTTCCCTCCCACCAGGCGTCCAGTGTACCAGAGGTGCTGCGGCCGCTGTACCAGTCGTCGGCAGCGCTGGCACACCGAATGACCATAGAGGCCCTGCGCCACCTGCGCAAGGTGGCCAACGAGGGGTCGGGAGGGGGCGGTGGTGAGGCCACCAGCGGGGAGGGCGGGGCGGCGGGCAGCAGGGCTGAGTCGGGGCGGCCGCAGGACCGGCAGCTGACAGCGTGGCGCGCGATCGCAGAGCGCATCGCCATGTGAGTGGGAGGAGGTTGCGTCAAGGCATGAGTACAGGTGTATAGTACAAGTTGCTGCCTCGTAACTTATGGCCCCACCATCCCCCTCTCTCCCCTCCAGTCACAGCCTACCAATCCGCCTTTCTCCCCCCTCCCCGCTTCCTCTTCTTATGCAGGGGATTCAACGAGGCAGTGAATGGGTTTACAGACGACGGGTGGGAGCACATGCCTGGTGAGGGCATCTCTTGCCCCTCCGCTCATTGCTCTTCCTTTCACATCTTTCATTCCTCTCCCTACTCCCTCCAGGGGATTCAACGAGGCCGTGAATGGGTTTACAGACGACGGGTGGGAGCAGATGCAAGGAGACGGCATGGATGACGTCACCCTTGCTGCCAGAGCCACAGGCGCCGGGGGGAAGGCCGCAGGGGGGATGGGGGGAGGGGCAGATGCGCCTGGGCCCGTGGGCGGGGGAGTGCTGTGCGCCAAGGCATCCATGCTGCTGCAGGTGGGTGGGTGCTGCTGTAGTATTCACTTATTCTTTCTTTCCTCGTACTGGCATGTCATGTCCGCAAGCCCTGATGCTCTCACTCTTCCCCTTTTCCCTGCCCACCCCACCCCTCCACGGCCCACCTCTTCAAAACGTGTCCCCAGTGCTGCTGATCAAGTTCCTGCGTCACCATCGCTTCAAGTGGGCAGACAGCACCATTCGCCTGACTTAGCCCCTCGTTCCTTCTCCCTTCTCTCCCGCCCCTGCTCTGCGTCTACACCCCTCCCCGACCCCTCCCCCCTCCCCAGAACGTGTCCCCGGTGCTCCTGCTAATCAAGTTCCTGCGCCACCATCGCTCCGAGTGGGCAGACGGCACGATAGATGCCGATTCAGCCCTTCATCCAATGAACTATTTTCTTCCCCCACTCCCCTCAACCCCCCCTCCACCCCTACACCCCCCTCCCCCTTTCTCAGAACGTCTCCCCAGTGCTGCTGATCAAGTTCCTGCGTCACCATCGCTCCGAGTGGGCAGACGGTACGATAGATGCCGACTCAGCAGCAGCCGTGCAGGCGACCATGGGTGCCCGCGCTGCTGCTGCTGGCGCGGGGAAAGTGCCTCTGCCACTCGCCTATGCTGTTGACCAGGAGGAGGTGAGTACAGGGTGGGTGGGTGGGTGGGTGGGTGGGTGGGTGGGTAGGAGGAGGTAGGCGGACTCAGCAGCAGCGGTGCAGGCCACCATGGGTGCTCGCGCTGCTGCTGCTGGCGCGGGGAAAGTGCCTCCGCACCTCACCTATGCTGTGGATCAGGAAGAGGTGCGATCATGTGTGTGTGTGTGTGAGAGAGAGAGAGAGAGAGAGAGCGGGTGGGCTGGCTGGTATGATGGGTTCAGCAGCGGCAGAGCAGGCCACCATGGGTGCTCGCGCTGCTGCTGCTGGAGGGACTGGGAACGTGCCTCTGCCACTCGCCTATGCTGTTGGTAAGGAAGAGGACCAAGGTAGGATTGAGCAAAGGGCAAACGCGAACATGTTTGCGTTCCCCCTTGCATGTTCGCATTCCCCCTTGCATGTTCGGTTCGCTGAACGACTTTCCCAAAAAAGGGTGTTCGCTGTTAGCCTGTGAAGGCGTGTTCAGGCAAACCTCGAACACGTTCGGGCAAACAATTTAAGCTAAAAAATCAAAACCTGTTCGGTTCTTTCCTCATCCCTCCGCGCGCGCAGACCAAGGCGCGCGCGCGGACCAATTCGCCCATCATCTTCCCCCACACACCCCCATCATCTTCCCCCACTGTCAGCAGCTGGTAAAGCTCGAGCCAGCTGCTGCCACACGGGGGATGGCTCTCACTTACTCGTGCTCCCTCTTCCCCCACTCCCTGCACGCACCCCTCCCCTGCCCTCCCCTCCCCGCTGTCCGCACTGTCCCCCCATCAGTTTCTCGAGCTCGTGAAGCTCGAGCCAGCTGCTGCCACACGAGGGATGGCAAGAGCGAGAGAAACGTTTCTGCTGCAGGTGAGGCCTTTCCTAAAGGTGTTGGTGGGTGGGTGCTGCGGGTGGGGTAACAGAGTCGTTTTTACTCTCGCTAAACGATTGCATCAGCATCAGCATGCATCAGCATCAGCATGAGCATGAGCATGCATCAGCATCAGCATCAGCATCAGCGCATGCATCAGCATCAGCGCATGCATCAGCATGAGCATGAGCATGAGCATGCATCAGCATCAGCATCAGCATCAGCTCATGCATCAGTATCCACCTTGGCCTCTCCTTGCCTGCACCCACTCCCACATCCCTTCCCCCCACAACTGTGCCAGTCTCCTCCTCTCCCCCTTTCCCGCTTTTCAGCCGCACTCTCTTTCTCTTCTCTATTCCGTTTTGCTTCTCCCCGTTCCCCTCACTCTTCGCCCCACCCACCCCGCTTTCCTACCTACCCTCCCTTCTTGCCGCTCCTCCCTACTCCCCCTCCCTCCTCCCCGCTTCCACTTGTTCTCCCCTCCCCATCCCCCCTCCCCTCTTCTCTCTTCCTCTCCCCCTCCCCTCTCCCCCGTTTTCCCATGTGATATCGCAGCTCTGCAGCGGCATCGAGGACGAAAGCACGTCAGGCTCCACGTCAGCATCATCCGCCACGTCAGCGCCGCCGCACAGCGCGACAGCTCAGCTGGTCTTTGCCCCCGTGGACGCAGCTTCCACGGCCGACACCGTTCCGCTGCTGCCATCTGGCTTCCGAGTCATCCCGCTCTCATTACCACCCTCCCAGGTTGGTATTTCCTCTTCCGCGGCTCATTGCTCTTCACACCCTGTGGACGCAGCTTCCACAGCCGGCACTGTGCCTCTCCTGCCATCTGGCTTCCGAGTCATCCCGCTCTCATTGCCACCCTCCCAGGTAGATAACGTGTGGGTCACTTCTACCCTCCCAGTTTTGTTCTTTTTGGGTCAATGCAGCAGCTGCTGCTGCACTCATTCGTAACTCGACTAAGAATTGCCAAACCCCTTCCCTGCTCAACCTCCCAATCCAATCATCGCAGGACGGGCAAACTCTAGACCTGGCAGCATCACTGGACAAGCAGTCGCAGCCGTCCCAGCAGCAGCAGCTGCGCTCAGTGCTGACCATTGCATTCCAGTTCGTGTTTCACTGCCCTTCCCCTCCCCTCCCGTCAGTCTCTCCTCTCTCACTCCCTCTCTTTCGTTTCCTCTCCCCCACCCCGTTTCCTCCCCCCGTACTCCCACAATCATCGCAGGACGGGCAAACGCTAGACCTGGCAGCATCATTAGACAAGCAGTCGCAGCCGGCCCAGCAGCAGCAGCTGCGATCAGTGCTCACCATCGCCTTCCAGTTCGTGTTTGACTGCCCGGCAGCCAAGGAGGGGGTGGCCAACACTGCCAGGCAGTATGTGCGGTCAGTCGTGGGGGCCATTCAACGCATCTCCATGAGCCTTTCGCCCCCCCAGCAGCAGCAGCAGCAGCAGCAGCAGCAGCAGATGATGCAGCAGATTCAGCAACAGCAGCAGCAACAGCAGCAACAACAGCAGCAACAACAGCAGCAACAGCAGCAGCAACAGCAGCAGCAGCAGCAACAGCAGATGCAGCAACTGCTGCAGCAGCAGCAACAGCAACAGCAGCAGCAGATGATGATGATGATGCAGGTAGACGGGCCTCAAATGCAGTTCCAATCTGCACTCTCACAACTGCCAGGGGCAACCACATCAGCCTCTAATCCTGCTGCTACCTCTGCTGCTGCGGCTGCCGCCGCCGCTGCTGCTGCTTTCACTGGCCTGCCTTCCTCCCTCACAGCCTCTTCCGCTGCTGCCGCTGCCGCTGCAGCCACGCCTTTGAACCCACAATCACTGCCTGCCTCGTCTAATTTCTTCAATTTCGGGCAGCTGGGAAATCTCGGCCTGCCAGGGCTTTCAACCGGCGGGCAGGGAGCAACAGGAATGGGGAGTCAAGGAGCGGGTTCAAGCCTGGGGCTGAATTCAAACCCAGCTGCTGCTGCTGCCGCTGCGGCTGCTGCAGCAGCAGGTACGAACAGTGGGGCCCTAGGGTTCCCTGGTGCTTCCCTTGCTGGTCTCAACATCCCCGGTCTCGGGGGGCTTTATTCCAATACCCCTGGATTTGGAGGGTTACAATCCAACAACCCCTCCGGTCTCAACGCCTCTGGTCTAAACACATCAGGATTCCCAGGAGGCTTTCCTGCAGGGATGAATGCAGCACTGCTTGCAGGACCCTCCTCCTCCTCTGCTGCCCCCACCACCACTGCTGCCACCGCTGCCGCTGCTGCTGGTGCCACGGGTGCTGCAGCGTTTTCTGCCTTGGCATCTGGCCTCGGTATTGGTTCTTTTGGCAACATGAACGGGCAAGGAGTGGGCGGTTTGAACGGGCAGGGAGGCCTGATGAATCAAGGAGTGCTGGGGGGGTTAGGAATGGGAGTGGGATCTCTTGATCCCAATCGCTCCCCCCCTGTCCCTCTCCCCTCTACTGCTGCTGCTGGTTCCTTCCAAACTGCTGCCGCTGCTGCAGCTAATGCAGCAGCGGCTAATAACGCTGCGGCTGCAGCGGCAGCAGCAGGGAATCTTAGATCTCCTGACGCTCGGCCGCCCGGCATGCCCAGCATGGCCGGACGGCTCCATCCGTCTGCATCTGGCGCAGCTACAGTCGCTACAGCCTCTGCCGCCCGGTCCCCCAGTGGTGCTGTAGCAGCCCTGGCGGGAGGCGCGGGGGATGTTTCCGGACCTAGCCGCGTGGTTGGGGACGGCTCTGGACCTAACCGTCTGGGTGGGGAGGGTTCGGCTGCATTGGGGGTGATAGGCATGGGAATGGGGATCGGGGGAGGGTTGGGAGAGGTGAAAGGGGGAGGAATGGGGGGAGGGGGGGCAGGAGCGGGAGGAGGGGTTGGGGATAATGGGAGAGGGTTAGGCGATTCTATGGTTCTTGGGGGCCTGGGTTCCCTGGGGAGGGGAGTGGGCGGAGGATTTGGGGGAGGGGGAGGGGGAGGAGGAGGTAGCATTGGAGGACCGACTTCGAGTGGCGGTGGTGGCAACGGCGGCGGTGGGGGAGGGGGAGGAGGGGGAGGCGGGTCGCATGCGATGCAACTGGCAAGATGGATCGTGCAGAGCTACAAGTGCGTGCCTTATGGTTTCTATCTCTGTCTCTTGATCTCTCTGCCTGTCTGTCCATCCGCCTTCATGTCTGCCCGCCCGCCCGCCCGCCTGCCAGCCTGTTCATCCATGAATTCCCGTCTGTTTTCAACGTCTATCTTTCCTGTGTGACGCCACTCTTCAACGCTCTCCAAGTCACGCGCATGTGTTGTTGCGTCCGCTGTTCCGCCCATCACTCCCCTTCATAACGTTCTGCCGTCCCACCATTTACCCATCTCCCCCCACCCTCCTCTCTCCTTCACCATGTCTGAGTGGCCGTGGGGTTGGACTGTCCACTGCAGCAGAAACAGTGTGCTCCTACATCCATCATTTCTCCACACTTCTGAGTCGAGTCAAAAGTCAACTCCTACATCCATCATTTCTCCACACTTCTGAGTCGACTCAAAAGTCGACTCCTACATCCATCATTTCTCCACACTTCTGAGTCGACTCAAAAGTCAACTCCTACATCCATCATTTCTCCACACTTCTGAGTCGACTCAAAAGTCAACTCCTACATCCATCATTTCTCCACACTTCTGAGTCGACTCAAAAGTCAACTCCTACATCCATCATTTCTCCACACTTCTGAGTCGACTCAAAAGTCAACTCCTACATCCATCATTTCTCCACACTTCTGAGTCGACTCAAAAGTCAACTCCTACATCCATCATTTCTCCACACTTCCCCCCTCCCCCCCCCTCCCCTTTCTTTCGTCCCTCTCCCCCCCCGTCCTCCCTCTCCCCCCCCCTCCTCCGTCTCCCCCCCCCTCCTCCCTCTCCCCCTCCCTCCTCCCTCTCCCCTTGTCCTTCCCTTCCTCACCATGGCAGGGTGGCAGTGGGGTCAGACCTGTCGCCAGCAGCAGGGGCAGCGCTAGCAGGGGGGGACTTGTCACGCCTGCTGAGAGTGTTGTGGGAGCACCGCGACGCCATCATTTGCATCGCCTGGCGGGTACGTGTCACTTTAGCATCCACTCTAGAGCCTCTCTCGCTTCCTCGCTCGCCCTCTCATATCGCCTGCTGAGAGTGTTGTGGGGGCATCGTGACGCCATCATATGCATCGCCTGGCGGGTACGCCTTAGTTCCCTCTTCTGCTGTCCCATTCTCTCCCTCTCTCAAGCCTTTCTCGGCCCCCCTCGCTGCTGAGAGTGTTGTGGGAGCACCGGGATGCCATCATATGCATCGCTTGGCGGGTACGTGTCTCACCCATCAAAACTTCCCCCATTTGCCGGAATCACCCCCTCTCACCTTCAAACCTCTCCCCCGCCCCCTCCCGCCCCCCCGCCGCAAGAACCTCGCCTCAGTTATCCTTCTCACTCCACTTCTCACTTGCCCCACCTCGCCTTTGCTTCCCTCAACCATATTCTGATAGCCTCCTAACCTGCCCTTCTCCCATCCCTGCCTTTTCCCATCCCTGCCCCTTCCCATCCCTGCCTTTCCCATACCTGCCGCTTCCCATGCCTCCCCGTTGGTCCGCCCACAGGCATCGCCAGAGCTGCTCCTAGCAAATCAATCGGGGTTGGACATGCTTGCCACGTCAGCAGCTGACCTGTCCAAGGTGCCTTGGGAGAAGACCATGGCTGACGAGGACGCTCGCTGCACTGCTGTCGCTGCCATGTCACAAGCCATACAGCAGGTGAGGTGCCATGTCAGCAGCTGCACAGTACAGCATGTAATCAGGGGCTGGAAAGGCGAACATATCAAGTGTTTTTATTCCACAGGCTTTCTCGTTCTGTTCCTTGTCCTATCTCTCTCTCCCCAACTCCCACTCCCAATGTGTTTTGCTTGTTTCCACTAGTGTTGTTGCATGTCTGCATTTTCCGTTTTCCTTGTGTGGGTTCCCAGTGCAAATCTCCACCCTCATGCAACTTTCAAATCCTTCCAACACTTGCTGTGTCTTCTTTTTTTCACAGGGCTTTGCCTACCTTCCTCCAGGTGTTAGACTCTCTTCACAAGGTCGTTTGGCCGCATATGAAAAAGGGGTGGTATGGCGGGTCGTAGATGATTACGGCTCCATTCACTGTATAGCATTTATGCATATTAACTGGTGCTTTCTGAGGTAAAGCGCTTACTCCAATGGCTAATTGCTCAAATGTCTGGTTAGAAAGCCAGCTGTGGTGTATCATGTGTTGTGTTGAGCTGGGTGTAAATAGCATGTATGAGGCTTCCCTTTTGAAAAGTGCGCTTCTATGGCCGAAAATTCCAAGGCTCCAGTGCCTTCGTCTTATAGCGCGGACCAACTCTTTTGTGTAGTGCACTCCATTGTCCGCCTTCGCTTCGCCTTCCTCCAGCTTCCGCTGTGGGGGGGGGTCAAAAGTTGGAGGACCACATCCATCCATTCATCCATAGCACTCCCATTCCACTGAAGGCCACTCCGCGTTATAACCTGCCCCACCTTCGTGTTTGCGCGTGTAGCGTCACTCTTGCTCCTTGCTGACACATCCAGTTCCGAACTTAATTTACGACTCGCGTGTAGCGACTCTTTTACGCGACCCTTTCTTGGCATTTTGGCTTGCGCCAAAATCCTTAGCTCTCCTAACCTCTCGCTTAAGCTCGCGAACTAGCTGTTGCGCTTGTATCTTTTTCATTGAGAGCTAAGCCTAGTTATACGGTATCGGTAGCCATGGGGAACCAGGAGAAGCTCATGGACCAGATTTTCCAGCTTAAGTTCACGTCGAAGACGCTAGTCCGTCAAGCGAAGAAGTGCGAGAAAGAGGAGAAGGAGCAGAAGCTTAAGGTTAAAAAAGCCATCGAAAAGGGCAACATGGAAGGCGGCAAGATTTACGCTCAAAACGCCATCAGGAAGCGCTCCGAGCAGCTGAACTACCTCCGCTTATCCAACCGCTTAGACGCGGTTATCGCGCGTCTGGATACCCAAGCCCGGATGAACACCATCACGACTTCCATGGGAAGCATTGTGAAGGTTCTGGATTCCGCGCTCGCGAGCAGCAACCTGCAGAAGATTTCGGAGACGATGGACGTGTTCGAGCGGCAATTTGTGAACATGGAGGTGCAGTCGCAGTTCGTGGAGAACGCGATGCACAGCAGCACGGCGCTGTCGACGCCCGAGGAGGACGTCAACATGCTCATGCAACAGGTCAGTTGGGTTTTTTTCCGTCTGGATTTCAGTCAGAATTTGTGCCAGAGTTTGCCGTTCTCTGCGTCCGAGGCACCTCAACCCTCAACACGAGACACTGTAGGGGGACGTCAACACATTTATGTAGCAGGTCAGTAAAACTGATGGTTTTGCTTAATCAACTTCATATATGTAGGCGTCTCAACACAAGATATTGGAGGTGGCCATAGTTAATCAACTGGACTATTTAGAGTTGTTGCTTCCATCCACGTGCATATCCCACTTTTTTCCTTACACCTTTCTTGTGCAATGTTGCTTGAGCTGCTGGTGCGGATAAGCTCGTGCTGCCTCTAATTGTTTTTTCACAACAAAATGTCTTTTGGGGCTTCCACTCATGCACATTGTCATCTAATAGAGCTTAGTTGCACCTCAACTGTCATTTGCCAATCCCTAATCTTTCAAAAAAATATCTCAGGTGGCAGACGAACATGGATTGGAGGTGCAGATTGGCCTACCAGGTGCTGCCACGAGTGCTTTGCCATCCAGAGAAGCTCAGACCAATGCTGAGGACGACTTGACAAGGCGATTGGCAGAACTGAAGAACAGGTCATAAAAGTGTACAGAACTTAGCAGGAGGGATGGTCATGAAGGGAGACGATGTGGCAGAATTTAGCAAACCTGTCACAACTGGTTGGGTACATGATGTGTATTCAGTCCAGGCAGCCATGCGTTTCCCATCTTTTCCTCATTGCATGCATCCCTGTCTGACAAAGGTAGTTCTCCAATGTTTTTCCTGCCTCAACCTGTAAATGTGGTTTTTATCTTACCGTATGTTTCTAGCTTGCTGTTGGTAAGCGGTTGCATTGCACTCTGTATTTGCCTAGATATAGGATGCATAAAACAGAAGTTGATTGTCTTTTTCTGTCTTGAAAGCGTGCATAAAACCGTTTTGGTGACATGGTTTGGGAGTAAATAGCAGAAAATCATATTTTACGCTATCTGTGGTGGAAATATGGTACTGGTAGGTAGGTCATTTGTACCTGTAAGTGAGCTTGTGGAAAAAAAAAAATCGATAACTTCTTAATGCAGCCACTACATAGAATCAAACACACTTGACCACTATAATTTGTACGCTTTTGTACGTAGCATCAGATGACCTTTGCACAAGTACACTCATCGTAAGGCTTGCACCTCCTTTTTAGAATTCGAAGTGTACCAGTCGGGGAGTGCCTTAGGCAAAAGTTACCGAAATACTTGTGGTTCATACTTTATACAGTTCCATGAACTGTACTTGCACAAAAGAGCAAACAGCAGCGTGGAAGATCCAGCCAGGTCCCAGGAGGAACGTTCAACTAGTGGCTGTGAATCCACAGCCACTAGTGGCTTTCGGGAGCGTTACCCTGACCCGGGCAGAAAAAAAACCAAAACCTATAACGACCGGCATGCCATTCGCGAGCCTAAACCCTAAAATTTAAGGGTTGAGGCTCCCGAATGGCATGCCGTCCATGTGGAGCTTAGTTTTTCTGGCCCGGGCTGTTTGTCGTTTTGTCGTCTCCTCTTAGTCATTTCCTCGCCCCCTCTATTCCGTTGAGATATACCATGCTGATTCTCAACCACACGATCCTTCACGACTACCCATGCTCAAAACATGTGGACGCTTTCTTTCATGATTGTGTTAGCCATAAATTTTGGGAGTACCTTTCCGAATGGCTTTGATTACCGAGTGCCTGAAACGTGCGATTATGTTGCAAATGGTCCTTCATACTCCGTGGTTGCTCAACAACGAGTGCACGACTGAATTGAAGTGCCTCACGATATATGCAATTCCCTAATCCATATCTCAACTCATTAACGAGCTGGTGGTGGGCATAACGTGCAAGGTGGCAAAGCAAGTGCCCGGTGTGGTCAGGATGGGTAGCTAGAGCCCAACCACTTACAGTCTCGAAAGACTCCGGTCTGGTAGTGCTGGGATCCTACCCTTTTGAAACGTCCCCAACTTACCCACCCAGCCTCCGTGGACTTGATCTCCAACTAGGGAATTTTGCGTTCCATGTGGCCACCGTCTTGAAGTGTGCAATGTGCAGCTCTGGCAGCAAACGGAAGGTGAATCTTTCGTGATGGTTCGGCTGGCAGCGATGCTACAGCGTGCCTTGTCTACTGGAGGCACAGCGCGCAACCTGACAGCGAGTTTTACGGGAGGGAAATGGGAGATGACTCGGATGACTCGGATGTGAGATGTTCCAGAAAGCTACTGTAGGTCCACAAGTACTACTGTACTGTGCGAGGTTCTACTGTAGATCTTTGAAGTTGTGTGCGACGAAAGACTCATGGGTCCTCCTCCCTCCTCACCTCACCTCATCTTCTCTGCTCCACCCCCCATAGCCAGCGGTGTATCTTCTCGGGTAGCGTCGCTGATTGTTCCTCCATTGGCGGTATCTTCTACTGCTCAATCAGGAGCGTCTGATGGCATGATGGTAATACCTAGAACTGTCATACAAGTGAAGAATCCGGCTAGTGCAGATAACAAGTGAAGCATCCCCCTCTACTTCGCCTGGACCTCGCCTAGCCAAAAACTCATTATGGCGGTGTTCAGTTCAGTTCTGCTCCCGAGTTGACTTGTCTTTCAGAGAGTTTCACATCACACACATTTTCGCCAAACTAAGCCTTCCAGTAGCTCTAGGAAATTGCCGACGGCGTCATCCAGTGCCTTGGTGGTGGGGGATGGGGGCGGTTGGAACCGCCCAGGAAATGAAAGGGCGGAATTGAGATTTTCAGAAGCCAGCTGCACGAAGAAGTGGCATGGAGGTTGGACAGGAGATTAGCAGAGCGCTTGACCTTGGCTAGCGCGTATTGCCACGTTGTGTCTGTGAGACCTGAGCTCCCCACATAGATGCCTAAGATTCTCTCAAACTCTGAGGGTTGTCTTATGGGGATGTCTCCTGCGCGGGTAATATCAGAAAGGTGGATATTGAACGGGATCAGAGAGCATTAAGCCCAATTGGGATGCTCCCCTGAAACCGAGGCGAAGGAGAGAAGGGCGTGAGCTGCTACACGAAGTTCTTCATCGGAATTGAGGAAAATTTTAACGTCATCCGCGTAGCATGCCAGCAGACGCTTCTGGGTACGGGAAATAGGGAAGCCAGGTAAGAAGCATGACGAGTACCGATGAAAAACCTCGATGACGCACAGGAATAGAAGCGGAGCCAGCGGGCAGCCCTGCTTAACGCCGGTCTGGACAGGGATAGGGGGACCGCAGAGATTATTTACTGAGATGCGGGTGATAGTCCCGGAGTGCATGATTTTGACCCACTTGATGAAGGAAGAAGGGAGACCAATGTGAGCAAGACACTTGAACAAGAACACTCTGTCCACCATATCGTAAGCTTTGCGAATGTCTACCGTGAGTGCGAGTAGAGGCAGCGCTTGAGCGGTGGCCCAGTCGAAGATGTCTAAGGTGTCAAGATGTTATGCTCTAGCCTGTAGTGGGGTGCTCTATAGCGAGTACAACCCTTCTAGGGTTTGCTATTTGTATCCTCATTCCTGCTAGTGAAAACACCCTTCTTTGCCTAAACTGTCTCTTGCCTAGCTAGGACTCTCCTAGCTATGGCTCCTAAGACTACTCCTTACTTTCACATGGAATCAGAGCACACATGCTCCTGGCCTGTGGGCCCCACTACTGCTTCCGCTGCCCTACGTTGTGTCGCGCGCCCCGTGGCGCGCGACCTCTTATTTTTCATCCCGCCGCGCGCTCGAGTCGCGCGGCGGTTTTCTGCCCGCGGTGCGCCCCGAGGCGCGCGGCGGTTTTCTCCTCGTCGCGGCGCCCTGGGGGCCCGCGCGCCGGCCCCTCCCGTCACTTCGTCGCGGCGCCTTGGGGGCCCGCGCGCAAGGCCCTTCCGTCGCCTTGTCGCAGCGCTTTTGGGGCCCGTGCGCAGGCCCCTCCCGTCGCCTCGTCGCGGCGCTTTGGGGGCCCGCGAGCCGGCCCCTCTCGTCGCCTCATCGCGGCGCTTTGGGGGCCCGCGCGCCGGCCGCTTACGTCGCCTCGTCGCGGCGCTTTGGGAGCCCGCGCGCCGGCCCCAACCGTCGCCTCGACGCGGCGCCTTGGGGGCCCGCGCGTGGCCCCTCCCGTCGCCCGTCGAGCCGCCCTCGTGGGCCGCGCCCTGCTTCTTCGTGGCGCCCTGGTTACCCCCTGTCGCCTCCCTTTCCTTTCGTGACCCGCCCCTCCTACTTCCCACGCTCCTTCCTCCATTAGGGTTTGGGGTAAGGAGTGTGGGGGTGGCGGGTATGGGGGTGGCAGTTGTGCATTCCTCCCTTTGCTCCTCCTCCTCCTTCGTCTCCCACTGCTGCAGCTGTCGTTGAGGGGGGTGGATGAGTGGGAGACTGGGGTTTAGGGTTTAAGGGGGGTGCGTGGGAGTGGAGCTAGGGTTTGAGCAGTGGGCGTGTATCGAGAGTGTGGGGCAGTTGGGGGAGGTTGAGTGGAGGCAGCAGTCTTGTCGTCAGCAGCAGCAGCAGTCCGGAGGCTACAATCTCCGGTAGTCGCCAGTCGCCCGTGGGTTCGTTGCTCGTCTGCCGCTACTTTTAGCCGCGGGGCCAGTTACTCCAGTAGTCCGGAGCGCTAATCCAGTAGCCACTGAGCCATCAGCTCGTCTGTGTGTCTGCAGCGTCAGCAGTCGCCTCCCATCTTCTCTCCCCCACAGCTCCTCCTCCTCCTCACTTGTCCGCTGTGATTAGCTCTAGCTTTGCTTATCTGTGTAAACTCCTGCTCTATACCTGCTTTCTCACTGTGCTGATTACACCCCACTTTGGCTATGGGGGTGTGTCAGAATGTTATGCTCTAGCCTGTAGTGGGGTGCTCTATAGCGAGTACAACCCTTCTAGGGTTTGCTATTTGTATCCTCATTCCTGCTAGTGAAAACACCCTTCTTTGCCTAAACTGTCTCTTGCCTAGCTAGGACTCTCCTAGCTATGGCTCCTAAGACTACTCCTTACTTTCACATAAGGTGTCATTGAGAGTGTCGCCAATTTTTCTAGATTTGATGAAGGCAGTCTGGGAATGATTGATGAGGGAGGGAAGTAGAGGCTGCAGCCGGTTTGCCAAGCAGATCGCCAGTACTTTATAGTCGGTGTTCATGAGTGTGATAGGTCGTAGGTTGTCGACTACGGTGGCATCTTTTTTTTTTGGGATGAGCACTGTCCGGCCCTGCAGCATGGAAGGGGGGAGGCTATCTTGGGACCCGAGGAACAAGGAGTGAAGAACAGGTGTGAAGTGGGTGCGGAAAGTGCGGAAAAGCTCATCAGAAAGGCCATCCGGCCCGGGGGTATTGCCTTTAGGAAGCGAAGAGATTGCCTTAGAGACTTCAACAAGGGAGAAAGGGAGGGAGAGACGGGAGGACACGTCTTGAGACACTTGAGAAGGGGAAACATGAGACCAGAAGGAAGGGTCCGGGGTGACATGTTGAGATCCACTGTAAAGTTGTTGGAAGAAGGAGGTGCACAGCGAGGACATGCCAGGAAGGTCCGAGATAACATCGCCCGAGGGGGATCGCAGGGATGAGATCAAAGGGGCTTTGATCCTGCTATTGACGCCGACGAGAAGTGATGACACTCCCATCTCTCGAGGACCCTCGACCTTTAGCTTAGCTTTAAGCGCAAGTTCAGCAGAGCGGCTAGCTTCGTTGCGCACAAACTGTAGCGAGGCGACCCGTAGCCTTTCTTTAGCTTCAACATTGGTTGGGTTGACAGCAAGATGAATGCGAAGTTGGCAAGTAAGGTTTTGAAGGTGCGCGTTGGTCTTTTTGACACGGATTTTTTCCTGTCCTGCAAACGCTTTGATGCGATGACAGAGGGACAGCTTCCAAGGATCCCAGTCTGCAGCGGAGAGAGTGTCAGGAAGAGAACTACAGGCCGAGCTAATTAGATGAGCTAATTTCGGGCGTTTAAGGATACACAGCGGGATGTGCCACGATCTGGGGGCAATGTTGGGGCTCTCGCACTGAAGGGTGCAATAAGGGGAAAGATCATGGTCAGACACGTCCCTTGACACGGAGATATAGGCAGCGTCAAGTAAACGGGCCGCCAGGGCCTCGGTGACGTAAATTCGATCCAGCCTAGAGGCGGAAGGGGGTGAGTCACCTTGGTCACTCCTAGGGATCGCAAAGAAAGAGAACATTGTGGCTCCAGGGAAGATTTTTCGGAAGGAATCCGTAAGGCTATGGTTGGATAATATGGTGGACAGGATGGTACCCTCTGAAATTTCGTGACTTGTAAATGGCCGGTTTCTGTCTTCTGGTGCGCATACCACGTTAAAACCTCCCGCAAGAATGGTTCCGGCCGCCGCGGTGGGTACATCGAGCGCAGGAGCAAAAATGGCACGCCACCACTGTCTTCTAAGGGTGACGGTGCAGGGGGCGTAGACAGCAATAATACGGAGTTGCTCTTGCATGAAATTGATGTGCAGCGAGAGAAGACGTCCGTCACTGGAGGGCTCGATAGAGGAGATGGACACATTTTTATTAAAGATAAGAATTGCAATGCCACCAAGTTTGGCACCCGGAAGCCAGAGGACCGCAGGGATACGATCAAAGCCCGCATCCCCGTTTGCTGCCACAGGAAGACCGAATAGCTGAGAATACGCCGAGTCATCGTAAGGGTCCTTGAGCCTGTAAATTAGGCGAACATCAGAGAGCCAAGGCAGTCCTGTCAGAACAATATAGCTTATACATTAGTGTACGCTGTAGTGGGGTAGCCCATAAGGGGTACAACCCAATTAGGGTACCCAACTCTTTCATAGTGCAATCATCCTCGTTCTCTTTTCTCATGGTATCGAGCAGGTTCCCTAGTGGGAACTGTTCCTAGGGCCCACCGACTTTTTTTTCCTGCCCGGGGCGTGTCCCGCCCCTGCCCGAAGCGCGCTTAGGGTTGCGCCTTCCCTAGCGGCCCCGTCGCGTCGCCCTTAGCGGCCCGTCGCGCCGCCCTTAGCGGTTCCGCCGCGCCGCCCTTCGCGGCCGCATCGCGCCGCCCCTTCGTGGCCCCGTCGCGCCGCCCCTTTTGCGGCCCCGTCGTACCGCCCTCAGCGGCCCGTCGCCGCCCTCCCCCTGTGGCCCGTCGCCGCCCTTTCACCTGCGGCCCCGTCGCCGCCCTTACAGCGGCCCCGTTGCTGCCCTTGCAGCAGCCCCGTCGCCGCCCTCCCCTTACAGCCCGTCGCCGCCCTCCCCTTACGGCCCGTCGCCGCCCTTACAGCGGCCTCGTCGCCGCCCTTACAGCGGCCCCGACGCCGCCCTCCCCTTACGGCCCGTCGCCGCCCTTTCAGCGGCCCCGCCGCCTTCTTCAGCGGCCCCGTCGCCACCCCTGCAGCGGCCTCGACGCCGCCCCTTCAGCGGCCCTCCCGCCGCCTCCTCTGCGGCCCCGTCGCCGCTCACTTCAGCGGCCCCGCCGCCCTTCGCGGCCCCGCCTTCCTTAGCGGCACAGCCGCCCACCAGCCGAGCCGCCGAGCCGCCCAGCAGCCGAGCCGCCGAGCCGCCCAGCAGCCGAGCCGCCGAGCAGCCGAGCCGCCCAGCAGCCGAGCCGCCGAGCACCCGAGCCGCCCGAGCCCAGCCGCCGAGTCGCCGAGCCGCCGAGCCGCCCAGTTGCCGAGCTGCCGAGCCGCCCGAGCCGCCCTGTCCGGTAAGAGCAGCGCCTCTGTCACTGCACTGCCCTTACCCTACTGTTTGCGCTGCTAGTCTACTGCTGTCATGGCTACCCCTAGTGTCCTCGCTTTTGACACTGAGGGTCGGGCCATTGACTTTGACGTCTGGGTAGATGACCTGCAACTTTTCCTATAGTGCGATAGGGAAGACGGTCTCTCCCTCTTTGACCTCACCTCTGGTGCCTCTCCTGCCCCTGCTGCTGATGCCGACGCCACTGTTCGCTCACAGTGGGCCACACGCGATGCTGCTGCACGTCTTGCTATGCGTCGCCACCTGCCTACCTCTGAGCGTGCGCACTTTAGTCAGTACAAGAGTGCTCAGACCTTGTACGACACTGTAGTTGCACGCTACTCCTCCCCTGCCACTGCTGCACTGAGCCGCCTCAGGCTACCGTACCTCTTCCCTGACCTTGCTGCCTTTCCCACAATCGCTGACCTCATTACGCACCTCCGCACTAGTGACACTCGCTACCGCGCTGCGCTTCCTGCTGAGTTCTGCGCCAAGAACCCCCCCCCCATGTACATCACCCTCTACTACATAGTTACCCGGCTCCCTGACTCCCTTCGCGTAGTCAGGGACCGCTTCCTCTCAGTTTGCCCCACCACTCTCACCGTTGACCTCCTAGAGAAGGCCCTCCTAGCAGCAGAGAAGAGCAAAGTAGTTGTAGGAGCCTCTCGTGGTGACCCTTGCACCCCCATCTTTGAGGGGTGTTCCCCGTCCCCCCTTTTGCCCTCTGTTGCCTCTGCTGCCGCGGCCGACCTCGTTGGGCTTGAGTCGGTCGGTGCGGCGTCTACCCCTAGCGGGAGACGCCGCCCTGGCAAGGGCAAGGGAGGCAGGGGCGTTGGAGGAGCTAGCGGGGGCGGTGGAGGAGGCGGTGGAGGCGGTGGAGGGGGTGGGGGTGGCGGTGGGGGTGGTGGCGGGGGTGGAGGTGTCGGTGGCAGCAGTGGAGGCGGAGGCGGCGGCGGCGGTGGGGGTGGGAGCGGAGGTGGCGGAGGTGGCGGCGGTGGAGGAGGCGGTGGCGGTGGAGGTGGAGCTGGTCGGGGTGGCGCTGCGCAGAGAGTCGGCTCCGGTGGTGGTCAGCGCCAGCAGCAGCAGCGCACTCGTGACATCCCCCCCCCTTAGCAGCTCCGTGAGTGGTACGCTGCATGCCAGCGGGGTGGGGGTACTGGTCCGTGCACCTACGTCCTACGCACCGGCGACCGCGCAGGTGAGCAGTGCGGGGGTGCACACTCTACCCAGCACTGCTTTGGCCGCCTGACGGACGCTTGGCGTCACCAGTTCCCGGAGGCCACTGAGATACCTCGCTAGGGCGAGCTTTCTAGGGCGGGAGTAGCTGTCTTTGACCTTGACTTTGATGCTATTCTTGCTGCCATGTATGCTGTGACTATTAGTGATGAGGGTGACTGTTACCGGTGTTTTGCGCTCGACTCGAGCATTGAGACTTCTGCTCTAGGTACTGGTGAGGCTGCTGCTCTAGGTGCTAGCGAGGCTGCTGCTCTAGGTGCTCGTGCGTCTGCTCCCTCAGGTGCTGGTGATTCTGCTCTCTCAGGTACTGCGTCGGCTTCGGCCTCCCACACCTTCACCCTTGATTCGGGGGCTTCTCGCTCCTTCTTTCGAGACCGCACCACACTCACGCCGCTTGGCCGGCCAGTTGCAGTCTCTCTGGCAGACCCCTCTGGGGGTCCTGTCCTTGCTCACTACTCCACTGTCCTCCCGTGTCCGGCGGCCCCCTCTGGCACCCTGTCTGGTCTTTACCTCCCCTCGTTCTCTACGAACTTGGTGAGTGGTGCTCACCTACAGGGATGCGGGGGTCCACCAGTTCACTCCTGCGAGTCAGCGGGTCACCCACTGCACAGACGCTCGGACAGGCCGACACCTGGCCACGTTTACACGTCGGCCGGGGTCGAGCCTGTACACACTGACCACTGCGTCTCCTCCAGTCGCTGCGTCTGGTCAGGTAGTTGCGTCGGGTCAGGTATTTGCTGCAGCGTCCAGGTCTGGTCCAGAGTCTGCCCCCTGCTCGTGTTGCCTCCTGTCTCATGAGACTCTCCTCTGGCACCACCGCCTTGGTCACCCCTCCCTTCTTCGTCTCCGAGGCATGGCCTCCCGTGTCCCTCCCTCCCCTTCGTCCAGGGCCTGGCCCTACCTGCGTCCCCTGTGTTGAGGGGCGCAAGCGGGCTGCCCCTCACTCCTCCCAGTTTCCTCCGACAGAGGCCCCGCTGCAGACGCTTCACATGGACGTGTGGGGCCCGGCCCGCGTCCGTGGACAGGGTCACGAGCGCTACTTCCTGCTGGTGGTTGACGACTACTCGCGTTACACCACAGTCTTCCCCTTGCGCAGCAAGGGTGATGTCACTGAGGTGTTGATCGACTGGATCCGCGCAGCTCGTCTCCAGCTCAGGAGGAGCTTCGGCTCGGACTTTCCTGTTCTGCGTCTGCACTCTGACAGAGGCGGAGAGTTCTCCTCTGGCCTTCTGCGAGCCTACTGTCGTGAACGAGGCATCTGCCAGACCTTCACGCTTCCGGACTCTCCACAGCAAAATGGGATTGCTGAGCGCCGCATTGGCATGGTCATGGATGTCGCTCGTACGTCCATGATGCATGCGGCTGCCCCCCATTTTCTGTGGCTGTTTGCGGTTCGGTACGCGGCGCATCAGATCAACCTTCAGCCCAGGGTCTCCATGCCGGAGACCTCCCCAGCTTTGCTGTGGACGGGGAAGGTTGGCGATGCGTCTGCGTTCCGTGTCTGGGGATCTCGGGCGTTTGTTCGCGACTTGTCTGCAGACAAGCTGTCCCCTCGTGCTGCTCCTTGCGTCTTCCTTGGCTTCCCCCCTGACGCGCCAGGGTGGCAGTTCTACCACCCCACCTCTCGCCGTGTTCTGTCCTCCCAGGACGTCACGTTTGACGAGTCGGTCCCCTACTACCG